CTTTATTTATTTATTTATTTATTTATTTATTTATTTATTTTGTTTTGCCTTTTTTGAGACAGTGTTTCTCTGTGGCTTTGGAGGCTGTCTTGGAACTAGCCCTTTTTTGGCCCCGCCCGCCCCCCATCCCCACAACCCCCCCCCCCCCCCCCGCGCGCCTCCACAACAAACGCGACACATAGTGTTATATAAAAAAAAAAAAAAACCCCCCCCCCCCCCCCCGCGCGCCTCCACAACAAACGCGACACATAGTGTTATATAAAAAAAAAAAAAAAAAAAAAAAAAAAAAAAAAAAAAAGTAAGGTGCATGAGGAGAATAGCCCTGTGATCTTTATAAGTGTCCTATATGCTGGGAAGAGATGGCTCAGTGGGTAAAGGGGGTTGCTGCCAAATCTGACAACCTGAGTTTAACCCCATGGTAGAAGGAGAGAACCATCTCCTGAAAGTGTTATACAACTGTGTTATTCAGCTTGAAATTGTTTGTTTACCAGTGACCATGACATTTGTCTCCAACTTACTGATGTGACACATAAAAGTTGTGTGAATGTCTTTGCATTTGAAAAGAATCTGTAAAAATGCCTTGTGGATGTTAGTGGTAGTTGTTCTGGTAGTAGACCTTTATGAGTCTCTTCTGGAGATAAGAGGAAGCTTTTCTGCCATTTTATTCCCATTCACAGTGCCTTTCAGAGTATGACACACAAGTGTTATAGTTGCGTCTTAGTAGGGCTGCCCTGAAAATGATCTCAGAGACCATTAGCTGACAAATTCTGGGGTTAATCATCACTCTTTAGGCCTTGTAGATGCTTCCAGGCCCTATTCTTTTGTTTCAAATTTGTTATATTTTTTTCTTTTTTCTTTTTTCTTTTTCTTTCTTGGTAGTTTGAGAGAGACAGGGTTTCTCTGTGTAGCTCTGGCTGTCCTGGAACTTGCTTTGTAGACCAGGCTGGCCTTGAACTCACAGAGACCCCCTGCCTCTACCTCCCTCATTGGGATTAAAGGCATGGCCACCATGCCCAGCTCTTATCTTTTTTATTACTATTACTTTTTTGTTTTGAGACAAGGTCTCGAGTAGCCCAGGCTGGCCTTGAACTCTTCATTCTCCCTCCCAAGTGCTGGGATTACAGGTATATGCCACCCCGTTTGCTCCTATGTGGTGCTGGTGCAGAGGTTCAAATTCGAGACTCTGAGCATTTTGGGTAAGCACTCTCTCAAACAAGCTGTATCCTTAGCTCTCGTGGTTTTGTTTTATTGAGAAGGGGCTCACACTCAGTTGGGGTGATCTTAGGCTCCTCATTGTCTTGCTTCTGTCTACCATGTGCTGGAATTACAGTTGGGCACCTCCATGACCACTTAGGCCCTACATGGTAATACTATATGCTAGCTAATTGTGCAGGCTATAAATTTTGGTGATGCTGCTGTGTATACTGAATGATCTGTAATCTTTCTTTTAAGGTGAATGCCTGGGTGGTGCTTTGTACTGGAAGGATCTTGCCATCATTGCCCAAAAAATTGGGTTCTCCCTTCCACGTTTGGTCACTGCCAATATCATCACAGTTCAAAACAAGGAACTAGAAAGTGTCATTGGTAAGAAACTATAGAGGGGACTCGGTGGCTACAGTGGGAATGGTTTCAGTTCAATGGTTACTTAGTTTAGTGAGTGATTTTTTTTTTTTTTTTTTTAACGAGCATTAGTGTTTGCCTTCATGTATGTCTGTGTGAGGGTATCAGATTTCCTGGAACTGGAGTTACAGACAGTCATGAGCTACCATGTCGGTGCTGGGAATTGAACCCAGGTCCTCTGGAAGAATAGTTGGTGCTCTTAACCACTGAGCTGTCTCTCCAGCGCCCTTAATGAGTGATTCTTACCAAGGGGAACTGCATCACCTTGTCTCCTGAATACTCTCAGCTCCTCCCTCAGAGTGATGCTTAATAAAGTATTTGAAACCATTCAGTACAGACTGAAGTGAAAGACCCCCAGACCCCTAAGGGCTCAGGATCCCAAGGAGCCCCCAAGACTCAGAAACCAGACCAAGAGCTGCAAAAGCAAGAGGGTTTATTGAACGAATGCACATTCGGGTGTCAGCAATATCAGGGAAGCTGCACACCCCAGCATGGGGTGCGAGCTCCTTATATAGGAAAAACCCACAAATCAGCATACAGGCAAGGGGCACAAAGCGATTGATTATAAAGTGATTGATTATAAAGTATGATTTTATATTAACGAGGTCACCTAGGTGTGACCTGGTTTTCTACAAAGGAAAAACCATAGAATGTACTCTGGAGAGTCCTTGATTGGCTGCTGGCCAGCCAGGTGTGACCCAAACAGAGTTGTCTTGGCGATCGCCCCCGTCTAAACCATAGGATGTGCCCAGGGCTGGGGCAAACTTCCTTGTAATGGCCAAGGCCTGTGGGAAACGTTTTCTCTCTGTGAACTAAAACCTTTTAAAACTTTTTCTGTCAGCAAACTAAAATCTTTCAGAAGCTCCCAAAGAAAACTGATGGCATACAGTGAAGGAAATCACCTTTACAGTATGCTTGCTCTAACGTCCTCATTTGTTGAGTGCCGCTGGGGTGCAGGCAGTGAGCCCTGTGTGTCTGCTTTCAGGTGACTGTCGTTTTGTGTCTGCCACGTTCCGACTCTTCAAACTCCCTAAGACAGAGCCAGCTAAAAGATGCCAAGTTGTTTACAAAGGTGGAATCACAGGGCATGAAAAAGAACTAATCTTTGATGCAAATTTCACATTCAAGGTAAAAAAAAAGTTTCCCATGGGGATGGCAGTGTGGGCCATGCTTATCTTCAGCTTTGTGAGGTGGGCAAGGCTGGCATCCGTTATTTCTGCAACATTCTTTCTGCCCTTGCCCTCATGCCCACCTACCCCCCAGCCACAGTGCCTTCCCTGGATCTTGAATTTGACCTTAAATTGCTTCTCACTATTCTGAGATTGGTTGGTTTGTGTGTAATTTTGTTTTTTCCTTAATCCAAGTCTTCATTTTACTTATAGTAGAGGAATAAACTTTTTATACCTTCCTTTGACCAGTGATTCCAAGGCATAGAAATTATTAACACACCCTTTTAATTAGTTTAGCATATTTTAGGTTTAATATGGGCTTCAACTTTGGAATTCCTAATAAGAATATATTATCCAAATGAATACTCAGTGGCAAACCCTGGAACAGAGAGGCGGGGCACGGGGAGGTTATCTTCTGAGCCCCTCAGCTCTCGAGAGGAGCACAGAGACACCCGGCTGTGTATTCCTGTGATATCCATTACATGCCTGGGTTGATTTTGCTTCCATGAGGGCTTTGTCAAATGTCCATTGCATGAGATCTATAGCTTTTGGGCTACTCAGATATTTTGACCTATTTGCTCATTCTGGGTGAATCCTGGGAAGCCACCTTTTAAGATTCTGCATGATTGTCACACTGTCTTGAATGTTCTTCTCATTTCTTTAGACTCTCGATTTTCACATTCACTGTTCTGCAGTTTTCTGGGCATCAGCTGAGTTTCCTCCAGTCTTCATCATAATCCAGTTTAGAGGCAAAGGCAACATGGCAGGCTGTTCTTCCCAGTGGTCTGAGTCTGCATGCTTGGGTTTTTATTTCAGTGTCTCTGACATTGCCTTGGATGGAAGCATTTGGCTTTTGTGAGTTGATAAAGGACACTGACTCTCTTGACACACAGAATGGCCTTCATTTGTTACGATAAATATTTCTGCCAAAAGCTGCCTGAGCCCCACCGCCCATCATTTGTTACGATAAATATTTCTGCCAAAAGCTGCCTGAACCCCACCGCCACGTGTGTGCTTTACGCCAGCCGCCTGCCCAAGTTAGGCCCAAATGAATACACAGAAACTTGTATTAGGTTCAGTGCTGCTTGGCCAATGACTAAGACTAGGATTCCTCATCTGTTAGCTCAGTCTCAATTATCATACATATATTTTATAAGACTTATCTTATCGGACGCCTCATTGACGTCCCTCCTTGCCGGTGGGTCACATCCTGCCGCATGAGGCGGCGAACGGGGGAAAAGAGAGCCATTTCCTATTTCTTCTTGGTTAAATATGAGTCTCCTTGCTATGTCACTTCCTGCCTGGATCAGCACTTCTCTACTACATTTCCCAGAATCCTCTTTGACTCCTAGTCCCGTCTACTTGCTGTCTCATTGGCCAAACAGTATTTTATTTAACAATCAATAAGATAAACATGCACAGTACATTCCCCATCAATCATTTAGGGCTTTAGTGTTGGCCTCTTTCTTTTCATTTACCTGACAGCCATTCCTGTCTGTTCTCTTCCCCCACTTTACCCTCCAAGTCAGGGTCTTACTATATTTAGGTCTTGCTGGCCTAGAACTCAACTGTGCAAACCAGGCTGTCCTTGAACACAGAAAATTCTGCCTGATCTGTATCCCCTGTGTGCTGGAATTGAAGGCTTGTGTCACCATAGGTGGCCTCATCCTTATTTCTGGACGGATGTTGGCAACTGTTTCAATTGTACCTTCATTTTCAGTTTTTATATCACTTTTGTCATTCAATGGCTCATCTGTCTTTGTTTTCCTGTCTCTTGCTGTATTTTGATTCCTTGATACTTACTTCTGCTTTAGTTTGATGGGTCTCCATCTCTTCAGCTCCCATCTTTAGTTTTATATAACCTCTAAAAATGTTTTAATTACTTTTCTGCTTTTTATCATCTTTTAACTTAGATGTAGTTGTAGAGGTCTTATAAGTTTTATAAATTACCAATTTATTATTTCTTTTTAAAAGATGATTTAAATGCCAGTTAAAGCAGACTCCTATTTATAATTTTCTTTTTATTGAACTGTGTGTGGCACATGGCTTTATTCCAGTACTTGGAAGTTAGAAGCAGGAGGATCTCTAAGAGTTGGAAGATAGGAGCTGGAGAAACAGCTCAGAGGTTAAGAGCACCCGATGCTCTTCCAGAGGTTCTGAGTTCGATTCCCAGCAATCACATGGTGGCTCACAACCATCTGTAATGAGATCTGGTGCCCTCTTCTGACCTACAGGAATATATACAGGCAGAACACTGTATACATAATAAATAAATAAATCTTTAAAAAAAAGAGAGAGAGCCGGGCGTTGGTGGTGCACGCCTTTAATCCCAGCACTGCAGAGGCAAGCGGAGCTCTGTGAGTTCGAGGCCAGCTTGGTCTCCAGAGTGAGTGCCAGGATAGGCTCCAAAGCTACACAGAGAAACCCTGTCTCGAAAAGCAAAAACAAAACAAAAACAAAAACAAAACAAAAACAAAAACAAACAAAAAAAAGAGTTGGAGGATAGCCTGGTCTTAAAAAAGAAAAAAAAAAAAAACCCAAACCAGAAAAATTGTACTACCTAGGACTTTCAGTAGTGTGCAAAATAAAGCAATTTAGGTGTTTATTTAGAGGGTCTGGAGAGGTGGCTCAGTGGTTAAGAGCATTCATCACTCTCGAAAGGAACCTGAGTTTGGTTCCCAGCCCCACATGGTGTCTTACAACTACCCATAATTCAACTTCTGTTGGATCTTGCAATCTGAATTAATGTACCAGAATTAATTTGCTGGAATACTAAGTAATCTGGTGTTTCCAAACAGTTCCCTTTATTTCAGATTAGCTATGGAAGGAGTGTCAGGGGGAAAAAAGACTCCCAACAAATGATCAAACCAAACGCCTTCTGGATCTAAAGCAACAAGCAGAAAGGCCAGAAACCTAAAAACTTTTAGAACCAGCAACACTCTGGAAGCAAACGAAACCAGATAGTCAACAAATAGGATCCCAACAAATGGATGATTATCCAAAGCCAGGGAGGGCCCAGCCTAGAAGGGCTCACCAGCAGCGCCCCCCAGGAGGCAATGCAGGGGGGCTCAGGCACAGGGTCCTCCATGATGGATTTTTGTTTTGTTTTTTTAAAGCACAATCTGAGAATGTAGCTCAGTTGGTAGGGTGCTTGACTAGCATGTATGAACGTGGTGTTTAATCCACAACACTGAGTGCAAACAGGCGTGGTGGCACGTGCCTGTCATCCCAGCACTTGGAAGGTTGAGGCAGGAGGATTAGAAATTCAGGTGTTAATCCCACTGATTGAAACAAGACCACCACAGTTTAAAGCCAAATTTGAAGCAAGTTTTAATTAAATTCTAACCAGGTGGATAGGCTCTGGTCAGGTCCATAACCAGATACCTGGGAAATGCCCCTAAAAGTATGGCAAGTGTTTAACACAGGAAACCCATAATTCATGCCTCAGGTCCAATCCGGGGCAAGCATACATCCTGACACGTGATCAAGCACATTTGGTGCAGATGGGTCAAACACACTTGTTTAGGGAGTGAAAACATGTGGTTGTTATTTCCCGTAAACTATAACCTTCAGCATTTCAGGGACTATCTGGCCTTGGGGAAGGGGCTTGCAGATCAGAGACATTTTTGTTTCTTGGATCTCTAAGGCCTAGTAATTACAACGTAAAATGTAACATTGACTCTCGCACAAGGTCATTTGCAATCTGAGCATATGTGAGGTTTAGGAGGAATTGCAGGTTCAAGGCCAGCTTGGGATACATTTTTGGATTTTTGTCTTTAAAATAAACTTTACAATCGGTTCAGAGAGATGGTTCAATGCTTGCTAAGCAACCATGAGAACCAGAGTTCAGATGCCAGCGCCACGTGCCAAGCCAGGTGTCGGGTATATATCTACCGTACCAGCTCCAAGGCAAGACAGAGATAGGCAGGTTGCTGTGGCTCGCTGGCTGCCAGCCTAGCTGAGAAAATGTGAACACCCGTGTTCAGGGGAGACTGTCTGCAGGGATAGACAGATAGTAAGTAATAGGAGATATTATCCAGTACTTTCTTCTGACCTCTGCCCGTGCATAGGCAACATGTCTTCAAATGTGTGTGCATACACGCATACAATAATGCTTTTTAAAAAAGATTTAAAAATAAGAAAAGAAAATACTCACTGAATAACATTCAATGCTTTATAGCAGCGGTTCTCAACCTTCCTAATGCTTCGACCCTTTAATACCCGTTCCTTATGCTGTGGTGACCCCAGCCATAAAATTATTTTGTTGCGATTTCCTTTCTGTAATTTTGCTACTTTTATGAATTGTAATGTAAATATTTGTGTTTTCTGATGGTCTTAGGCGACCTCTGAATGGTCATTGGACACCAAAAGGTGGTGTCCCACGTGCTGAGAGGCACTGCTCTACATAACTCTCACTTGCCAAGCATGTTGGGGGGGCGGGGAGGCGCAGTGAGTGCCCTTTGTAGCACTGTCACACTGTCACTAAGGAAAACTGACCATCTGCAAATACACACGAGGAGAGTGTTTGCCCGGGGAAGCCTGGCAACCTGAGTTCGATCCCTAGAACCCAAAGGACCAAAGTGACATCTTTTGATACTTGGTGCTGCTCTTCAGGAAGGTGAAGCTGTTGAAGTGGATGAAGAGACGGCAGCTGTCTTGAAGAACTCGCGTTTTGGTCAGGATTTTCTCTTCACACCTGTTGGAGCCACGCTGCCGGCTATGCGGGGTCGTTCTGAATTAGAAACAAAGGTTTGTTTGACTTTCAATTCCCTACTTCAAACAGATCCCTTAAAACAACCACAAACACCAGACTCTGTTAAAACAAGTTTTCTTTGCAGCTGGTTACCACAACTAATACACATAAATGATTTGATTTGACTTGACAAATTCTTTTTTTTTTTTTTTTTTTTGGTTTTTTGAGACAGGGTTTCTCTGTGTAGCTTTGGAGCCTATCCTGGCACTCGCTCTTGTAGACCAGGATGGTCTCAACTCACAGAAATTTGCCTGCTTCTGCCTCCCGAGTGCTGGGATTACTCACGTGGGCCACCACCGCCAGGCTCGACAAGTTCTTTTTGTTAAAGATTTATTTCATGTGTGTGGGTGTTTTGCCTGCATGTTATGTCTAGGTCCCCTGGAACTGGAGTCACAGATGGTTGGTAGCTGCCGTGTGGGCGCTGGGATCAAACCTGGGTCCTCTGGAAGAGCAGCCAGGGCCCTCAACCACTGAGCCATCTCTCAAGCCCCCTAATTCTTTTTTTCTCCCAATTCTTAACAAGTCAATGATAATCTTTGAGTTTTTAGAATATCTGTGAGTTAACGGAATAGATGGTATCTATATGCCCCCTACAATTGTGTGTGTGTGTGTGTGTGTGTGTGTGTGTGTGTGTGTGTGTGTGTGTGTGTGTGTCACAGTGCATGGGCAGAGGTCAGAGGATGGCTTGTGGGAGCTGGTTCTTTCTTTCCAGCATATGGGGTTTAGGCATTAAAAACTCAGGTCGTCACCGGCTTTGACAGCAAGCACCTTTACCTGCTGAGCCATTTTGTCCATTCCCCATTTTATGCTTTTAGAAATGTATAACTCAGTGGCATTTAGTTCACTCACAAGGTTGTACAACCAACAATACTCTACTTCCAAAATTTTCACCACCTCATACCTACTGAGCATCTGTTTCCAGTCCTCCTCCCTGCTGGCTCGACTCCAGCCCTCCTCAGCAGTGGCTGAGTGACTCGACTCCATGGCTCTGCCTCTTTAGGACATGGGTGAACTCATACACACATGGCCTTTTGTGTCTGACCTTTTTCACCTGTTTCCAAAGCGGCTTCTTCAATTGGAGCATGCATCAGGGCTTCACTCCCCTTGGAGGAGGGCTAGAAGACATTTGTTTGTCTGTCCTTCACTTGATGTGTGGTCCTGAGTCTTGGAGACCATTAATAGAGCAGTTAGGAACATGGATATACGAATGCTTGTTTGAGTTTCTGCTTTCAAAGATTTTGCATCTATACCTAAGAATAGAATTATTTTGTCTGCATTTCTAACTTTTGGGGGCTTTTGATGTTATGTGTTTGTTTTTGAGACAGGGTCTCACTGTGTAGCCCTGGCCAGCCTGGAGCTCAGTATGTAGACCAGTTGGTCTTGAACTCGAAGAGATCCACTTACTTGTCCTTGCCTCTAGAGTCCTGAGGTGAAAAGGAATGTATTACTATGTTGGGCCTGTTCCTAGCTTGTAAAAAGCCACCAAGCTGTTTTCCACAGTAGCTGTACCACTCCGTATCCCTAGCACTGTCACCGCCCAGCTGTCGTTGCCGGTTACCACATGAGGCAAGAGCAGGGACAGAATTGAGTCTCTAAGTTGTGTTTACCAGAAGGCATATGATCTGCGAAGGCTGTGACCTAATACCCCCAAACTGCCTTCCCTTATCTACAGCCAGCAGCCTCAGCAGAGCAGGGGGGGAGCAAAGGCGATGCGTCCTAGCCTTCTTGTCCCTCTTGCCAGGTGGCCAGCCGTGTCCCTGACGTCTATGATGTCAGTGCCTCCATCCTTATCATCGTCTCTCACCCTCTTCCCTTGTTCTCCCAACATCTGGGCCAACTCTAGTCAGTTTCTTCCTTTATTGTCTCTGTCTCCTCCAGGGCCATCTGGCCGGGGGAGGTAACACGGAACAAAGAAGCCACTAAGCAAGAATGTGTCCATGCAGACCCCTTGCTATCTCACAAGGTTCAAATGTACCCTCGGAACATAGAATACAAAGGTGTTCTCGTCCGTCTCTCCAGGCCCATTGTGAGCAGTAACCCCCATAGGTCTGTACTGATGGACAGCGGCTCTCTGCTACTGTGCAGCTGGCAGTTAGCAGGGTTTCTCATCAGTATGGGGATTTTCCGGAACAAAGCTGTACACACCAGGGCACACCCTATGCAACAGCAAGCAGTTGTGCTAAGAAAGATTTTTAATCAAGGAAAACTAGGAAGGCTTCCCAGATCCTGGAAGGTTTGGGAGCCAGAAGGCAAGAAAAGACAGATGGAAACTGAGGAAATTGGCCCTCCTTTCCTTTACATCAGAGATGATTCTAATGAACCATCATACCCTGTTGTTAGGCCTATTTGATTCATTTGGCTTTTTAAATTTTATTTCTTCATTTATATTTATTTATTTATTATTGAGACAAGTTTTCTCTGTGTAATAGTCCTCACTGTCCTGGAATTCACTTTTTTTTTTTTTTTTTTTTTTTTTTTTTTTTTTTTTTTTT